TTTGTCTGCACATCTTGATTATCATTTTGGTCACAGTTTTAATTTGAAATGTTCATTCCTTTCATGCCTACCTGTCATCTTGAAGGGTGGTATAATCAGCGTTGCCCCACGGTCAGCTAGCAGCTTCTCAATGGTGAAACCCTTGTCTGCCATGCAGCCATCCCCTGCTCCAGTCGAGCAGTCCACTTCGTTCAGTCAGCTCTCAGTCAGAGATGGAGCCAGTGAAGAGACTTGACACAAAAGTCACAGCACTACATGGGGTAATCCCAATTAATCCACGTTATAACAACACGGGAGACAGTGGACACACTGAACTGAAACATGTCAGCCAGCACCTTCTCTTGCAGGCCTGCAGCAACTCAGCAGCAGAAGAGAAAAAAATTATCAACCAGTTGCAGTCTACGCGTTGGACTGGGAGAAATGGGTTCAAATGTTTGTCCCTTTTTCTGAGCTTTCGACCAATAAACCACCATGGAGGCAGATGGTTGAATAGCTTCCCAGAAGTCACAAAAAACATCTCTTTAAGTGAATCTTGTGTAAAAAAGGATGCCCTGTCTGAGACACAAAATCGGTGAAAATGCACTTGACCCACTTTCAGCTGTGACAGCTCTTTTGTCAGTTCCTTGATTTTGTCTTCCAATTGCTGTATGCGTGCAGCAGCAGCATCCAGTGCACCTGTATGAGATGAGAGAAAAAATTAAAAATATCTGACCCAGATTTTGTCTGTGACTTGCATATTGGAAGTAGTTTGGACCTCTAAAGCTACATGAAATAGCTTTTTATAGCTCAATATTCACCTTTACGTTTAATCAAATAAGATATAAAATGCAACGTTTGTACTTGTGATGAAGCTTTTCACATTGTTGGTCAAATGCTGGGACATCAATAAGACTAAACATTTTGTGCCAGTGTTCTGAAAAGTTGACCTACTAATAGCCCATTCTGTGCTTTGTAGGGCATTCTGATAGACATTTCCTACCTAACAGGATGTGCTACCTATGGTTTAAGCACAGTATGGGGTACTGGTAGGTCATCATGAGGAGGTAGGCCAACATTTCAGAACACCGGCCAACAGTAACATACCTGGTTTAGGAGCAGAACCATAATCATGTTCTGTCATCACCACCGAAGCTACGACCTCCTCTTCCTCACATGGCAGGGGCTGCTCCAGAGGAAGGGCTGGGCAAACGTCATGGCCTAAGCGAGTTGATGCTCTTTTATAAGCGGACTCCCTTCTTGGCAGTCCCCAGTTGTTCCACTGGAAACGGGAGGGCACAGACCCGATTTTCAGACGCTTGATGTGACCCCGGTTGGTAAAGTTAGCCACGTCAGCTAACGCTAGCCTGCTAGCACTACCTGTAATGTTAGTGTAGTCTGATTCACTAAAGTGCCGGCTGCAAACAAATGTGCTACCTTGTTTTATTTTAAAGTTTGGCCTTTCATCCCGGCGAACCGCTTTAATCCACTTCTTCCTTAGACTAAATTCTGTCAGGAATCCATGAAAACTGAAGTAGGGTTGGCGTTGTTTGTTCGATTTACAAAGCGGAACAGAGCAGTGACATCTAGCCTTCGTTTCAGCCATTGTTGAACTGCGCCGGAAGTGGACATGCACAAAGTTGACAAATCAATGAAACCCGGAAGCGTGATAATCCCCTATCGTAACGACAACATAAAAGAACACTGACTCCCAATTTGCTCAAGGAGCTCAAACAAGCTCATAGAGACTTAAAAAGTCTGATTATGGAAAAGATTGAGGGCAATTTAAGGTTCACAAAGCAGAATTATTAGGAAAATGGCAACAGAGCAAGTAGACTATTGGCCTTAAGACTTAAAAAACAACAATCCTCTAATAAAGTACACAAATTAAAGACTAGTAACACTCACAAAACCGGATGAAATTGCAGGGTCTTTTGCTGAATTTTACAAATCCCTATACACAAATACGGAAACCTGCACTGACGATTAAGAATTGGCACAATTTCTGAAAGATATAAACTTAAAACAGTCATCTGAGCCTGTGGCAAAGGAATTAGATGAGCCTATCAAGGAATCAAAAGTACTACAGGTCATCTCTACATTAAAAATGAAAAAAAGCCCAGGACCAGACGGTTATATCAATGACTTTTACAAATCATTTAAAAATATAGTGACACCTTTACTGCTAAAAGCTTATCATTATGCATTGCAATTCTGGAACTGTGGCCCCCTCCTGGAGGGATGCAACAATAGTAATGTAAGTTTATGTTATACATAAAGAAGGAAAGGACCCTACCAAATGTGAATCATACAGGCCCATATCTTTGTTGAATATAGACCTACGTATATTAACATCCATATTATCAAGATGTGTTAATAAAATTATAACAAACATTATTCACCCAGATCAGACCCCCATTATTAGAACATTTATATTACGTGAATAACAGAACCATGATACAAAATATTAGTAAGGCGTTGGGTAGATGGTCAACGCTTCCTTTATCTATGGCAGGACGCATCGAGAGCATACAAATGAATGTCCTACCTAAATTAATCTATCTATTTCAGATGCTGCCTGTAGATATTCCTAAATCTACATTTGATAAACGAGACAAGCTGATCTCAAACTTTATATGGCAATCAAGGCGGCCTAGGTTCAGACTAAAAATACTCCAGCTATCCAAATCACGTGGAGGCCTCAAACTCCCAAACTTCAGGTTGTATTTCTGGGCTGCACAGTTGAGATCCCTAAAAGCATGGCAGCAAGACTCCACAGGTACAAGGTGGATAGACAATGAGAAAAGCACATGCCAGTGGCCCTTACAGACTCTACCTTTCTTAGATACTACGCTTGGTGAGACTCAAATGAGTGAGTGGACTAGGACCATATTGAAGATTTGGAGGAAAATCAATCATATGGGCTGCCTAAATCAATCTCAGCATTAACCAACATTGGTTTTATAAATGGTTTTGTCCCCCCTCAGATGGACTCAGGATTTAGAAAGTGGTCAAAGCACAGACTCACAAACCTACACCAACTTCATAAAGATGGATGTATCAAATCATTTGAACAATTAAGACAGGAATTTACACTCCCCAATTCAGACTTTTTCAGGTACTTACAAATAAGTGACTTTGTAAAAAAGCATAGAGAGTGGATTAAAATCCTACAGCCCACCCCGATTGAAGAATTCCTGATAAAATGTTATTTTATTATTCTTATGTTTGTGTGTTACTCTTACTTAACTATGTAACTTGCACATATGTTTAACCGGAAACATATACTCTTATATGATATATGACTTAATGTGAATGTGCATAATGATTGTATAAGTTGCTGAAACTGAAATAAAAATTAAGTTTAAAAAAAAAAAGTGCTGTTAGGGTACATGCAGTAGAAAAATTCTATAAAAGGTTCATGTCAAAGAAAAACTGTAATTGTGAGGGTTGATCAGTCAGTGACTAGATATTGACTGATACTCATTGTGTAGCGCCAAATCATAACAGAAGTTATCTCATGACACAATAGAGCTCTTAAATCAGCTTTTTTGTTAACATTTGAACACCTTTTGGGTCGCTAAACATGCCTGAAAACTCATGACACTTTGCAAAAATTTCAGTCATGGCAAAGGCTAAGGTATTGTCTTGGTCCAGTAGATGGGCATCGCAAAATGGCTTAGCCACGCCCCCCAGAATCAGCCCTCAAGACACGTATGACCGACATGTAAGAAAATTGGTAGGCATGTGTATCATGATGATGGAGCAGCTTTAATTTTTATCTGCATTTATTTACTTATTTATTTCATTTTCCATTTTGTTTGTTGATTTATTAATTTTTAAATATATTTGTGTATTTCTTTTGTATATTTTGCCTTTTTGCATTTTTTTCCCTTACTTATTTCTCTAAACTTTTTTATTTATGTTCACTTATGATATTTCTGTATGCATTTCTGAACATAAACAACGACATAAAAAAATAGATTTTAAATCTAAAAATGTATCAAATAGGGAAATTAAAACAGAGGTACATAGATACTGAAGCAAATTAAATTAGAAATATTAATTTCTGTCACATTTGATAAATGAATCAATGCTGACGCTTATTGTATTTTATTCATTTTATATATTTATGTTTTCAGCAGTTGCTGTCCTCAATAGAACTCTGAGGGCAGAGGAAGATACTGACACATTAAAGATGAATGAATATGAAATTATAAAAGGCATGAATAATAGAAAACAGGAAAGCTGGTGTGTCATACCTTCACTTGAGCTATCATAAGCAAATTGATTAAAAATAATGTAACTAAATACCTTAATACAGTCATTTACAGTAAGTACACCTGCAGTGCATTATAATACATTGCACCAGCCATGCAATAAATCCTAATTTTTTGGGGGTTATAAGGTTCTGCTTTTAATTCAACACTATGGTAATTTTTGGCCCATACTGCTATCACATTTAAAGTTACAGGAAGCATCTGCCAGAAATTCAATTCAGTGCTCTATCATAACAGAAGATCTCTGGACACTTTCCATATTGGGCAGGTCTAGACCTAATTTCTCTCTTGTGTAATCCCAGCCTCCTCTGCTCCACATATTCTAACATGTTTTACAATCCCATGGACGGCAGAACTGACAGCCTCTGAAGGAGTCCCAGTACATGTCACATCAATGAGCTGACCTTTATGAAATGCAGACATCCGGGCTATCATGACTAAACATATGCTCGGTGGGGAAAATGTGAGATGAAAGAGCTCAGACATAGAATTTTAGGACATGACTACTAATACTGATATTGAAGCAGCCTATTGGCGGCCAATAGCCTATATAATATACAGTTGACAGTGTGGATTAATTACTCTTTTTCTCTTATACGGTATACCATGTATTTTGTTTCTTAGCTTACTTTATTTTCTGTACTTCTTGTTTTCCTTCTTTCTTTCTTTCTTTCTTTCTTTCTTTCTTTCTTTTTTCTTTCTTTCTTTTTTTCCTCTGTACCTCCTTCACTTTCTCCCTTGCAGCTTGTGTATCAGGCTTCTTCAAGGCTGCACAGGGAGACCACAAATGTCTGCAGTGCCCCATTAACAGCAGAACCACCAGCGAGGGAGCGACTAACTGTGTCTGTCGTAATGGCTACTACCGCACTGACTCTGACCCTTCACAGATGCCCTGTACAAGTATGTGTACACAACAGTCATAACAGCACATTCATGGATTTCAGCTTTCAATCATGATGATTTGATAGGAACACCTATCGATCTCTCAATCTCACAAACATTACAAAAACATTAGGCTGTTGACGTAGTGACGGTAACTAACTCTTTAGGGAAAGGGAACAGAAATTAAACTGCTGCTATTCTGTATGATGTTGCACAGTATTAACGTATACAAAAACGTATATAACAAAAATAGCTTCAAGTTTTGAAGATGGTTGAAAGATAGTCACGTGGGCCCCACCCCACGAATCAGCCCCCAAGACGTGTAAGGCTGACATGTATGAAAATCGGTACACGTGTATCGTGATAAAAGACCCATACCTCAAACCCAACAGGAAGTTGACCATTTTGGATTCCGTGGTCATTTCTCGCGATTTTCGCCATTGCATTTTAACAAACTCCTAGATCAGCTCTACTTAAAACTTGGTCAGTATGATGTAAACACCAAATTTGTGATATTTGTGATTGCGCCCGTGGTGTGGCGTGCAATTTCACCGCCATGTAGGCCCCAACGTGAGTCGATGGTGAGGTCCCGCCCAATGCTGCTTGCAGCTTTAATTTATTTTTGTACTTAAATAAATGTATGCACAGCATGCTATGTGTATTTTGCTAGCTAACTTAAGATGTGACTATATCTGTTATTGGAGCACAGAGCAAAAAGGGATGGGACTTACAAAAGCACTTTTTTGGATTTGTAATTGTCTTCTTTACAGCTGTGCCATCGGCTCCACAAAATGTAATCTCCATAGTAAATGAGACCTCTCTGAGGCTGGAGTGGAGCCCACCACAGGAGAGCGGTGGCCGAGAAGATGTGGTCTACAACATCATATGTAAGAGCTGTGGTAGTGGGCGGGGTGGCTGCACCCGCTGTGGAGACAACGTGCAGTTTGTCCCACGTCAGCTTGGGTTGACCGACACCCGCGTCCACATCAGCGACCTCTTGGCTCACACCCAGTACACCTTTGAAATTCAAGCTGTCAATGGAGTGTCTGACCAGAGTCCTTATTCACCACAGTACGCGTCAGTCAACATCACCACCAACCAGGCTGGTGAGGCTTTTATAAAAATAACTTTTGTCATATTTGCTGAAACTAGCTGTTAAAAGTTGTATTCCTAGCATCAATATTTGATGACCTGGGAATGAAATCAACTATCATTCTTAGCTCTGATTGGTTGTTTTCGTTCAGGCACGATAGATTCTTGCTAATGCCATTAAGAGTACTAGGAGGAGCCAGAGGAACCGTATTTTTTCACAGATTATCTGTGTCATGGACTACTGCCAGGATATAGTGAAAGTTTCAGCAAATATAACAATACGTTTTTTTTATATTAATTACCTTTTGCAGCTTTAATGACTGCTCAGTGATGTGATGAGTGATGATGGAATGGAAACTTTGCTTCCTCTTCTTTTGTTCTTAGCACCATCAGCAGTCTCCATCATCCACCAGGTCAGCAGAACCCCTAACAGCATCACCCTGTCCTGGTCCCAGCCTGATCAGCCTAATGGAGTTATCCTGGACTATGAACTGCAGTACTATGAGAAGGTACATCAGTGCTGTTGTCACTAGACAGGCTTCCACAGTCTTACCCACAATGTCTCACACATACACCGTGACTCCTGACAGTGACAATCTTACTGCTCTACTGACTTATTTATAATTTGATGCTTTCAGGAACCACCTCTCATTTTCTGATTATTATTTATGATTTCTGATGCATGTGTTTCAGAATCAGGCAGAGTGGAACTCATCTCTTACAAGGAGTCAGACTAACACTGCTGTCATACGAGGTTTGAAGCCTGGAACTATCTACGTATTTCAGGTTAGGGCTCGGACTGTTGCTGGATTTGGACGCTTTAGTGGCAAGATGTACTTCCAAACTATGACTGAAGGTAGGAACAACAATCAGATTTACTGTCCAACTAAATTTGCACATATGTTTCCCTCTTTCTAGTTGGTAATCCAGCTCTGAATCAAGTCCATATTTGATCTGATATCTGTCTTTTGACCTGTAGAAGAATATAACTCCAGTATCCAAGAGAAACTCCCCCTCATCATTGGTTCAGCTGCTGCAGGCGTGGTCTTCATCATTGCCATCACTGTCTTTATAATTGTCTGCCGCAGGTAAGCCAGTACAATGTTACAGGCCATGAAATTATTTTATAACAATATGCATGTTTCTTTTAAAATACCATGTACTGTTAGAGTACTGCTGTTTATTTTAATGGTTAGCAGTTAGATCAGACTTATCTACAATAAACACAAAACTAATTGTGCCATAAATCCAAAACAAAAAAGCTCTGAAAAGCTCTGTGTTTTGACAAAACAATCTCAACTCAAGTTCCACTTACTAGCTTTTCCAGAGCTTCATCCATAACACATGGTTTTCATCAGTGGATGTTGCTCAGTTGAAGCCTCAATGTGTTTGTCCCCAGCAGGAGGAGCTCAGATAGACCAGAATCAGAGTACACAGACAAACTTCAACATTACACCAGTGGCCACAGTAAGTAACACTGATGTTTCATGTGGCAGGTTTTGGTTTGACAGAGTATGTAAACAAACAAAAAGGATCTTTTTTTGTTTTTATGTTTCAGTTTTTTTTGTGTGTGTGTGTACAGCTGCTGTCTCTTCTCTCTCTCTGTTGAAGTGTCACCAGGAATGAAGATCTACATCGACCCCTTCACATATGAAGACCCCAATGAAGCAGTCAGAGAGTTTGCCAAGGAGATTGAAATTTCTTGTGTCAAGATTGAACAAGTTATTGGTGCAGGTAAAGGACAACAGTGCATGAAAAAGGAAATCTGGTATCAGAGAAGGAAGTTGAGGTTTTCATAAGTGGGCCTATTTGGGAATTTTGGAATTCTTCATTAGACCTCTGAGGGTACTAAACACCTAGTACATCAGGGTGTGCTTTACCATTTTGCAACATGTCATATAGACTAATTTCAAGTGTTAATTCACAGTTACATGACTGCAGTTGTGGTCGTATTGTGGTGTCAGAGAATCTACGGAAAGAAGTGGAGATTAGCCGAGAGAAACTAAGAGCTCCCCAGGAAATTAACTTTGCTAAAGTCTTCAAACGACCGGCACCACCACAATAAGTCCGATTATTAATTATTATTACTGTGAAAACAGTAAGTTAGTATCTTGGCTCACGTCAGCTGGAGAAGTAATTCGACAAGGTAACGTCTAACTAATAAATCCATTCACATAGTATTTTGCTACCGATAACGTTTGCGTGCAGGCAAGCTAATGTATAATTTCTGTCAAAATAATTCCTGTCAAGTATTATTAAGTAACAGATTTTTAAAATTCCTTCTGGCTTTTAAAAACTAAAGCACTGACTGCAATATTTAGGTTAAAACATGATTTGTTTGACTGTCTTTGAATGATTTGATGTTTTTTAAAATATCATTCACCTTCCACTGACTGCTCTGGTGTTCCTGACAGGAGAGTTTGGGGAGGTGTGCAGTGGAAACCTCCGGCAGCCTGGGAAGAGAGAGATCCTGGTGGCAATTAAGACGTTGAAGGTGGGCTACACCGAACGCCAGAGGCGGGACTTCCTCAGTGAGGCGTCCATCATGGGCCAGTTTGACCACCCAAACATCATCCATCTGGAGGGGGTGGTGACCAAGAGTAGCCCTGTGATGATCATCACTGAGTTCATGGAGAACGGATCCCTCGACTCCTTCCTCAGGGTAATGATTAATGTCGCCTCCCAGCCACTGATCACAATCTCAATGTCATCATCCTTCATTCATCACAAAAAGCAAACATAATTTTTTTTTTTCTCAAAGCAAAATGATGGGCAGTTTACAGTGATCCAGCTGGTGGGAATGCTGCGTGGCATAGCAGCAGGAATGAAGTACCTGTGTGACATGAACTACGTCCATCGAGACCTGGCAGCTAGGAACATTTTGGTCAACAGCAACCTGGTGTGCAAAGTGTCTGACTTCGGACTGTCACGCTTCCTCGAAGATGATACTTCAGACCCCACATACACCAGTGCTCTGGTGAGTCATGCCTTTATCATCACCTTATTTTACCACTAGAAGTCCTCCTAAAAGACACTAAGAGTTTCCTCTTAAGGCTTTTCACTAGGCTATTGAGAGACACTTTTACTCAAAGATTGAGAGAACTCCTCAGCTAAGAGACTAAGCTAAGGGTGAGCAGGCTAAAACAGGGCCTAAGGGACCAGGCTGACCCCTTTTCTATGGACAACATCATGGGTCTAAATTAATTCATAGTGACAGGTTGACAGGTAACTGGTCTGTGTCAGTGAATGTGGAATAAAATATTTAATCTATACACAGGAGCATTAATAGGTACTAGATCAGAGCTGGGCATTTTGCGTAAGGTCAATCGTAAATTAGAACATAAATGAAAAAGTATTTATGCTGTGCACACAACACAACTGTGTTGCCTTTTTTTAAATATATTTTCGTAAGGAGCACACACGTGGATAAACAGCTACAAGTGATTCTGGCCAGCTAGCCCTCAAAATGTTAGCTCACACAAAAAAAAGTTGATACCGAATGCCGCGTTTTCAACAAGATATGGACTGCTAAAATGTATTTACAGAAATCAAAGGTAAAGCCTTGTGCTTGGTTTGTGGTACACAGGTCGCTGTGTTTAAGGATTACAATTTAAATCGCCACTACATGACCAAACATGAGGAGAAATACAAGAACTTGTCTGATCAAGATTGCGCAAGGGAGTCGGATGCTTTGCTCACTAAGCTGCAAAGTCAACAAGGACTTTTTAAACTTTGCACATCCAGAGATGCAGCTGTCAAGACAAGCTATGTCATATCCCACAAAATCGCTAGAAAAAGTTAACCATTTTCTGACGGAGAGTTTATTGGACTCTGCAGCACTAATATGCCCAGAGAAAAAAAGAGCATTTGAGAACGTGCCCCTCTCCCAACGTACTGTAACGAGGAGATATGAGGACATCGCGGGAAATCTGCAGCTTCAGCTGAAGAACAGAGCGGTCAACTCTGACTATTTTTCCCTGGCTTTGGATGAGAGCTGTGATGTACGTGACACTGCCCAGCTACTCATCTTCTTACGTGGGATAACTACAGACTTTAAAATCACAGAGGAGCTGGCAGCCATGCAGTCAATGAAAGGGACAACAACTGGGAGTGATTTGTTCATGGAGGTAAATGCATGTTTGGACAAGTTGGGACTGAAATGGGACAAGCTGGCAGGTGTGACAACGGATGGTTGTCCAAATCTGACGGGGAAAAATTTTGGACTTTTGAAGAGAACGCAGGACAAAGTGACAGACATGAGACTTCAGCAGAAATGGACATTTTTGCATTGTATTGGTAAATGGACCTGTACTTGTATAGTGCCTTTCACCCTTTCACACACATTCACTCAGCGATGGCAAAGTCCATCAAACAGAAACTAACGCATTCATATACATTCACACACCTATGCACAGCCATTCGGGGTCCAGTATCTTGCTCAAGGATACTTTGACATGTGGTGTCAGGAACCGGGGATTGAACCAACAACCTTTTGATTAGAGGACGACCCGCGCTTCCTCTGAGCCACAGCCGCCCATCATCATTATACATCAGAAGTGTTGTGTAAGTCAGTGTTAAAAATGAACCATGTTGTTGATGTTGTAACTAAAATAATTAACTTCATCAGGGCAATAGCATTGAATCACAGACAGTTTGTTGTACTTTTCAATGTACAGCGCAGTGAAGGATTTCATGAGAAAGTTGCAGCTTCTCTCAAGCCAAATAGAGGACAACATTCTCACCCACTTGCCAACACTGAAGGAAGCCACAACATGAGCTGATAATGCACCAAGTGATGTTCACATGTCTGGCAGAGCACTTTAGGTCAGTCTCACTGCTTGAGTTTTACTCTTCCCTCAAAGAGGAGAACTTTCCATACATGAGGAGGCATGCTCAGAAGATTCTAATCCTCTTTGGATCTACCTACGTATGTGAACAGACATTTTCAGTGATGAAGTTCAACAAATCCAGATACAGATCCTCCATCACTGATGATCACCTCTCAGCTGTCCTTTGTATATCCACCTCAGACATTCAGCCAGATTTCAATGCACTTGTTAAAGCCCAAGACAGATTTTTCCCACTGAACAAGTTAAATCAACTGAAAAATAATAAAAGCACTTAATGCTTTTTGTATAAAGTTAACCAATTGCTAATCTTTAACATACTGCAAAACACCTTTTCAGTGTTTGTGAAGATGAACATGCTAAAATTGAAATGAAACACTGATGTAATTATTGTTTTTGTTTTTACTGTTTAATACTTCTATAGGAGTATTTTCCTATTTGACCTACACCACAATTTCATATATTTATATAAATATTTCCAGAATATCCTTATTCTTCTGATTACCATTAGCGGCTAATCAAAATATATTTACTGCTTTTTACAATGGGCGAAAATTAATATTGAGCAGAATTAACTTAAAGTCATTGTTTGTTCGGCCCTCCAACACAGTTCAGATTTCTCATGTGGCCCCTTGTAAAAATGAATTGCCCACCCTTGTACTAGATAGATTATATTATATTAGATTAATATATATCACCAAGCCACTGATTCTAGCCTGCAGTGCATGGAGGACCACAACTGCCAAAATCTAAGAGGGGGTGGGTGGTAAAGAGAGAAGAACAGACAGAGACAAAGGGGAAAAGCAACAACAATTGCAACAGCTATACTAGTAAAAGTGACTAATAATAATGATGAAAGGGATCTATTGTCAGAAATGGAATATAATAGATAGATAGATAGATAGATAGATAGATAGATAGATAGATAGATAGATAGATAGATAGATAGATAGATAGATAGATATTCCTTTATTTGTCCCACAATGGGGAAATTCCAATATTTCTAATTCAAATTATTATTCTAATTATAATAAATATAAATAAATATTCATAGGTCACCTAACTAGAGCCGGCGTATGTCCGAGGTTTCTGCCTCTTAAAAGGATTTTTTTCTTGCCACCTTTGCCAAGTGGTTGCTGGTGGGAACTGTTGGGTCTCTGTAAATAATTTTATAAGAAGTACAGTCTAGACCTGCTCTATTTGAAAAGTGTCCTGAAATAACTTTTGTTATGAATATTGTATACTAATAAAATTGAATTGAATTGAATTAAATAATCCTAGACACTGGTCCTTTTGCATTATAAATTATTTTATAAATTAAATTATTGGAATTTAAGAGACAAAACAGGAAATGGAAGTAAAAATAGGCCAAAGGTCAGTAGGTTTCTAAAAAAGCATCAGTAATGGCATGACACCTGTCTTTGTCCTTCTTTCCACTGTGTCCACTGTTGACCTCCACACTTCTTTCCAGGGAGGGAAGATTCCCATCCGGTGGACAGCTCCAGAGGCCATCCAGTACAGGAAGTTCACCTCCTCCAGTGATTGTTGGAGCTATGGCATAGTCATGTGGGAGGTGATGTCATATGGAGAGAGGCCCTACTGGGACATGAGCAATCAAGATGTGAGTAAAGCCCTGTAGAAAAGACCAGAATTTACATTTTACACATCACAGAGTTGTCATAGGAAGGTGATAAACCTGTTTTTTTATGACTTTTTTGAAGCCTAAATAAATTAACTAATGACTCAAAAACAGTACACCAAAAATAATCTTAATATATTTGTAGGTTTTAATCAATGTATAAAATGTCTTTCTGTATTTATTGTATTTGTATTTATCTTTTAATTCCAATATTTATTTATTTTCCCATTACCAAGGCATGTAAAGTCGATCTATGCACTATGATGGTGATCAACCAATTGGCCAAGAATTTACTGACCACATGATAAAAAGGAATAAATTAATTAATAAAAAGGAAAATTAAAAGGGGAATTAATACAGTCAAAAAAATGAAACACTGACTTTAATTAAATTTATTTTGTCAACAGGTTCCACAAAATTGTATTAGGTTAGGTAAGAGTAAAAATGTTATGTTCATCTAACTTAATGAAATAGTATTATAGTAACACAATCATTGTGAGTTGAACCAACAAAAAAAAATCACTTACTAAAATCACTGAGGCTCCTGCAGCTAGCATGTGCTAGCGGTACATGAACAATGAAAAACTATAAATTCTTAAAAATACTTCCAGTTACTTCCTCTGCCGTCTCTCCACAGACAGTTGGTACAATCCCTCTTTCAGGAACAGTCTTTCTGCCAGCCCAGTGTTGTACTGGCCGAGGTTGTGAAAACAGTCCGACATGAAGTGGTTCACACACATTCCGGTTTTTCCGACTCAAGCCGGATATTGCCGTCAAAAATAAAAATAAATCCAGTGGCTCATACATATGTAGATTTGTGTTGGGCTGTGCAGCCAATGACTGAACAGTTTGCCTGCTGAAGCCTTTGCCCAGACATTGGGCTGGCAGGCTGCGGGGTGCAGGCTGCTGGCTGGGCTGGCTTGCTTGCTTGTTCTCCGCTAGCTTGTTCTCCGCTAGCTTGTTCTCCGCTTGCTTGTTCTCCGCTAGCTTGTTCTCCGCTAGCTTGTTCTCCGCTTGCTTGTTCTCCGCTAGCTTGTTCTCCGCTAGCTTGTTCTCTGCTAGCTTGCTCTCTGCTGGCTTGCTCTTTTATAGCGACAATGGCGAAGCTCCGATAGTCAACACAGGAAGTAAACTGTGGTGGGTGGCAACATAACTGACGTCAATAACGTGGAAAAATCTGAACAGACTATATTCTGTATTCTGACTGAGGCAGCCCACAAAAACATGACTGAGTCATATTTTTTCACCCTTTGCCTTCTGATAGGCCCTCCAGAGTCCCAAATGTACATAATCAAATGATTAAAAAGTTGGTTTAGCATAATATGTTCCCTTTAAGCCTACAGGCACTTACCGGGGCTTTACTTCAGTACGGGTAACGTTACGGTTACACTGGCGGTCCGCTAACCGACCTGTTTTTACTCACATACAAACACTTAAGTTACCTAAGCATTTCCTGTACCTGCTTCACAATAAAAGCCTCCCGCTAGTTCGCCAATGGAAAAGCTTTTAATGTGAAGCAGCAGCAGGAAGATGATGGGTTGTATTAGCATGGTATTAGCAATACCTTCAATAGCTCTGAAACAACAGACAGGGATCGGCTAACCTTCCTGTAAAATAAGCCTGATATCTCGAGGTAACGTTAAAGTAAACACAGACATATAAAAACAGAGCTTTCTCTGTGGTCACCATGACAGTGCATTTCGTTGTTGAACTGCCTGTAAACAGCATTGCATGCAGAGAGTAACGTAACTAAACGTCCATAGACTGAATATAAAGTTATATAACGATAGTTACATACCGACTGGTCTAAGTTACACGGTAATAACGTGTTCTTGGACTGGCGGGATAAAAGCAGACCCATATGCAGCTAACAGTTAACGTTAAGTTAGCTAGCTACAATGTCTAACGACTAATGTTACAGAAGCATACTAAACATATATTATATGTATCACAAATATAAAATACAATTACACTTAATATAAAATATAACAAAATATATAAGAGTGAAAATAAAGCAGCTCACCTAGTCCCACACTTTCTCATAGTCCAGAACAGTACATTTAAATTTCTGAAAATATTTTAAGCAAGAATGAGAGAGAGAGAGAAAGATGCATATTTTACTATAAATGGGACCATAAATTACTAAATGAACACTATGCTGTATGGAAGAAGACCGAAATGAGATTAAAACCATGAAATATAAAATAAATATTCTCCCACCTCGTCCAACGCAGAAAACAAAGACCAAGAGCAAGTTTTCCGCCAAAATTAAGTCCTTAGACGTTAAGTGGCAATGAGTATGTGTAGTATAAAGTATTTTAATCTTCTTCTTCATTTAGGTTTTTACGGCATCTGGCGTTGCATTGCTGCCACCTTCTGGATTATAGCAATATTTCAATCCTAATTCACTTAACTTAATTTTTTTGTGATTAACCAACCCATTATTATTTTGTACAGATAATTAAAGACATGATTACATGGAAACGAGATTTAAACCATGAATTCATTAGCAAACACTTTACTGTGCTAATAAATCAAGACAGTGTAATTTTTGGGCTTTTCTTAGCTGCCCCTGATGGTCATTAGAGAGAATGCAGTAAGGTGGTTTGGTACTGGCCTCATTCACAGACCTGAACGGTGTGCCTAGTTCAGTACTGAATCAGGTTCAAGCCATGTTCTGAGAAAATCTGTTTTGTGTAAATTCTTTTAGGTTATCAATGCCATAGAGCAGGACTACAGGTTGCCACCCCCTATGGATTGTCCTAGTGCACTGCATCAGCTGATGCTTGACTGCTGGCAGAAAGACCGCAACAACCGGCCCAAATTCAGCCAGATTGTCAGCACCCTGGACAAGATGATCCGCAACCCTAACAGCCTCAAGGCCATGACACCGCTGTCATCAAGGTATGGGAGAAAGGACCGCCATCATTTCATGCTGTGAATGACCTTAACCTCTCACATATCAGCGTTCTCACAGGTTGTTCTTATTTTTTCTTCCTTCTGTCCACCAGTGTTCACTTACCTCTGCTTGATCGCAGCACTCCAGACTTCTCATCTTTCAGCACAGTGGATGAGTGGCTGGACGCCATTAAAATGGGCCAGTACAAGGAGAACTTTGCCAACGAAGGCTTCAACAGCTTTGATGTGGTGTCTCAAATGACAATGGAGTATGTTAAATACTTTATATATATCCATGCTGTAAAGAAGACGGATTTCACAAAGAAAGATTCGGTGCTAATACCAGGCCTGAAATTAAGTAATTTTTAGGGCAAGGACACTTTGGCCTTTAATACATTTATTGGAGGTCAACCTTAATACAGTAGTAAAATGCAACAGTAATGCAGCAAACATCATACATAGTAAAACACTGACAGGGATTATTTGACTGCACAATGGTTTCATTAATTGCTTTTCATGCTATAATACTTTTACCTCAGTAAGGTTTAGAGTGAAGAATTTATAGTGGAGTACAGTGGGGATGGTAAACATGTACTCCACCTCTGGTTAGCACACCCAGAGCCTAAATGCACCTGTGTGTTACCGGCTGATCCTTCCCCTTTAAGAAAGGTGAGTGCGTGCTGCATTAGCTAGTTAGCTGCTAGCAGTCATCACGTTTTGCTTAGCCATTTTCCTTTACCATTGCTGGAAAAACTCAAAAGAGAAAAAGACTCTTAGCTGTAACTTTTGATAGATAGCGTTAGCTTTTTACAGTCTGCTGCAAACAGTACAAGAAGATTCTGAGACAAAATTAAAGGCAAAGAAAAGCTCCATGTCCTCTGCTGCTTTGTAGTAAGCAGCAGTGAGAGGACATGGAGCTTTTAGCTACATAACATCATAAAAGCACACAGAAATGGTAATTTAGAGCCTGTTTACAGCTGGTACTAACATGTGTCTTGGGTGATCAAAGTGGACAACTCCGAATACACGTAAACAACCACATAAACGCATTGTGAAAATAAGGAATGAATCTTCATACTGAACAGCCAAAAGGACAGTAATAATGGAGAGTGACTGAGAAAAGTCAAAAGTCGGGTAGAACAGAGTAGGGTACAGCCGACTCGAGATCTTGAGACGTGGAGACCATCAACTGATAAAAGATGGACTTTGCGTCCACTTTCTTCCACTGTACAAAAATTAAGCCAAAGTTCCTGGGATACTGCCACTGCCATCTTGCACTGGTGACGTCTATCATGACATGAAATCCCCTTTTTATATCTTCATATAACTAATTAAAACCAAACTGAACACTTAAACATATATCTGTGTGATTTAAAAACTACCTAAAATCTTTCAAATGTATTTGCAGTGTACTTTTTTTTGTTTGGCCCATGTCTGATCTGTTAACCTGGAGGCAGTGGGCTATATGACCTATACTGCAGTCAGCCACTGTGATTGAGATGTTTTTGCTTTACATTTGGAGAGCTGTCATGTTGTCCATCTTTATATATGTCCATGGTGGATAAGGATTCTAATGCCAGGTGTAAATTGACGTTGACATTAAGCTGTCCACTGATCATTTTACCCAAGGGACATGTTAATACCAGGTCTAAACAGGCTCTTAGACTTGGATTTCAGCATTCAGAAAATAGGAGGTCTTCAAGAAATTCTGAGCTGGTATACTTAGCTGGACCTGACAAATCTTTTCTCTTCAGGGACATCCACAGAGTGGGAGTGACGTTGGCCGGCCACCAGAAGAAGATTCTCAACAGCATCCAGTCCATGAGGGCCCAGATGAACCAGATCACATCAGTGGAGGTGTGATTCCAGGAGCACACGGGCTCTGTTTACTGTAGGAAACCCAGCAGCCACCAACTCTGCATTTTCTTGGAACCTCTGAGGGAGGCTGATGACCTGCGTACAAACTGTGACTTCAGTCCAACCTCAGCACCCTCTGTCTCCCTCCAAACTCTCTTGAGAAGGTTCCATCAGTCTGCAGCGCAGCACAGATGTTTGGTAGTTTTCTTGTAGCTGTTGTATGTCCAGGTAACAGTCATGACCCAAACTGCTCAGGCCATGTTTATTCAGTGAGACACCTTGATTTTGTAATTTATTTTGTTAAATGATAACACACTGTACTTAACTCCACTCTCACCAACTTAAGACATTCAAAAAGAAGTTTCCACAATTGGCCTTGCACTTCACTCACAGTGAAAATACAACAGCTCAGTAGAATTCAACTAAATGGCTACTACAAAAGAGAAGCTCATTAGCCTGTTAGCTTGAAGCTGGTATTAAGCATTGTTTTCAAATAAGTTATTTACATGTGCCACCATTAGGCTCTTACTGACAGCAGGCTCTTACTGCTAGCTCTGTCTTGACTGGGAGGCAACAGGGCACAATGCCACAGTGAGTATTAACTATTTAACATTTCATATCAAACCGTTTCTACTATTATTGTCAGGCAGTTTACAGCAATAGACTTTGATTAATTCCATTGTAATTAAAGGAATTAATTATCTTTCTGCCAAAATGATAGCATTTTTGACGGGTGCAACATGGCAGATTGTGCCCAGACATACAAAAAAGCCCATCCACAGCACCATAGTGCAGTCTGCTGGCGCATGACCCCGACACAGGGCACAAATCGTAATGATTAACATCCCATCAGTGTTGGGGTTTTGCTTAGTGATCCACGTGTCTAGAAATCGACAGGTTCTTTACTTGTGTATTTTTGCCCTTGTTCTCCACCTAAAATCTCCTCTGACTTCTAGCCTGGTGAAACAATCTTGATCTAGCTTAAAATCCGGAGTCTGCACACTCTATTATTTTAAAAATTGATCGGAGTCTATGCTATTTCTGTGTCTGAATTCCTGCCAGTCCGTTCTGCTCTGTTCTGCTTTACGCGAGTGGGTCGCAGCTTCTGTCAAATATATACCAGCCGCTGAGCGGAGCGATGTGTCATGGCGCTTCTGGTGGAATTTAACGCATTGCCTTGAATGGGTGTTGCCTTATGAAAGGCCATGTCCAGTGGAATTTGAGGCTTACTCGACCATAGCACCTCCTTAAAACACGTAGACTGCAAGAACCCGATCATTGCTGCTTGCTGCTTTAATTGTATTGGCATTCTGTAAATGCCTCTCTATATATTAGTTTATATTTTAACTGGCGGAAACCACACAGGCACGTGTCTACACACTGGTGATTCACAGGAAGTTATGCACTCGCATAGTAACTTAATATTTCCGATGTAACAGATAAAGGTCAGTACATGCATTTGTATTACATTTCTGATGGAGCTTTGCTGAGGGTGAGTTTGCTGCCACCAGTAGGTCACACACGTGAGATTTGTAATAGAACCCTGGGATCCGTATTATAAAAACATACTTGCCATTACCAGTAGTTACAACATGTGCCGCTGAAACAGTCAGAACTGAAATCATAATGATTAAAGTTTTAACTAAACAAAAATCCACAGTTAATACCATTTCACACTTCCACATATCTGGCTAATCACTGCATGAAGTGAGTGTGCTTGTGGGATTGTCTGTTTCAGAACATAAATTGGACACAACTCTGGAGACTTTCAGATGCACTTAACTTGAAGCAGACTTGAGGCTGTGAGCAGTCCTTACTGTAGTTTATAGGGTCCAATTTCAAAATATGTTATTGTTCCCTCAAGGGACCATTTGAAGCCAGTGAGTTTTCAAACACAAATACACACAAACAATTCAATAACATAAAACATATAAAAATACAAAATATAATAAAGAAAATATAATGCTTAAGGATTAATTGCAGTGGCCAAACAATATCCAACACCACAAAGGCACAGAGAAGTCGCAACAGCAAATAGCCATGTGCAAACATAGGTGCAGCAGTGTGTTCTGTCCTAGTGGTTGCTAGCTGTGTTGGTAGTGGCAGGGCTGCTGTGGGAGGCAGCAGCAGTAAGAGCTCCCTCTTTGAAAGCACCTACTAAAGAAATACAAGCTAATGCTGTGTGCACCGGTCAGGCTGGACCACATTGGTTCTCCAGCAGTTAACACTGACTCTTGTTAACATTGCATTACTGTTGTTCAGCTGTTGTTTGGTTTTGCTCATTCGGTTTACTGGCTCCCCAACAGGAATGAAGAAATTTTCGCCTTTAAAAGGGGCTCTTCAAAAGGTCACCACATATTTCAGTGTCTGTGCTGTCAGAAACTGAAGACTTTGCTTTGACAGGTGAATGGACATCTGAGACAAAAGAAAGCACCATGTATCCTGTCAACCTACAGACTTTGGCCTCCTAATGAGTCCTGTGTGAGCTGGTCATCTGAAAATGCCATAAAATGGCACTATAACTGATATTTTTAAAAGCCAATTGGTTGATATTTTTTACACACGTCTTCGTAGCAAGAAAAATATTTTTTTTAACCTTGAAGTACACTTGTAACTGTCCCATTTACTGTGAAGCTGTGTAAAGTTACTGTAAAGTCTGTGTCAGGGTTTGGGCAAGAAAACAATTTGTTGCAGTAAAAATTTTCTCACTGCCGAACATGTGTTTTTGGAGGTAACAGTACTATGTGTCGTGTGTTTTCAGTTGTTCAAGAGAAATCAGTGTAACATAGCAAAAACACAGTTGTCATCTTGTACATATCAATATACTTTCCCTGTTTTGGCATACAACCCAATAAAAGGCATGGAGTTTAATGGAACTTAATTTACCCGCCCTTTTTCGCCCGGTGGTCCAATTACACTTGAGCAAGCCTTGGTCAGAACCTCCTTCCTTTAGCTAATCTATGTTGAAAAGATAAAAGTGATACTGGTGCACTCTCTAAAAATGCTAGCTAGATAATCTACATAAATCATTTGCTATCTAGTTACATCTGAAAGCAAATGTTAGCAAAATACTAGCTATCTACGTGGCTAATTTCGACAAAAATGTTTGCTAGTTAGCTAGCGTTTTACTGACATGATATATGTAGACATTTATATATAATGATTGATGTAGATTACCTAGCTAGTTAGCTAGTGTTTTACTGACAAGATATATATATTAGGGCTGTCAAACGATTAAAATATTTAATCGTGATTAATCGCATTAATGTCATAGTTAACTCGCAATTAATCGCACATTTTTATCTATTCTAAATGTCCCTTGATTTCTTTTTGTCCCATTATTTTTTCTCATTTTAATGCTCTTATCAACATGGTAAAGTGGATCGGCTTGCTTTGTGCAAATGTTGTTTTTACTGAAAAATCATCCATTGTTGCCTGGCTTTGACGAGGGAGCGGAGAATTCACATCAGCTGTGTGCTTGGCCATCAAGTGGTATTTCAGACTGGACGTGCTGCGATGATAGCTCAGTTCACAACGACAAAACACACAGATCACTTTGGTTTTGTCAATGGAACCATTTGGCAACTTTTTAAAAGTAAACTTTCCATTCAGAATATTATTGGCATCCATTTCGGCGTCTCATGCTCACCAGCCACTCAAAACGTAACGTCTACTACTCTTAAACAAGTGTGTGCGGCGTGCCTGTTGTTTTGTTTCCGGTCTAGCTAGATCCGGTGTGGTGTTGTAGTTTTTCTAACGTTACTAGTTCTTGCAACAACATGTGAAAAAAACTACAAAGTGTGCTAGGCCAAAAAGAACGTTAATCTCGCGATAAAAAAATTGACTGCGTTAAAATGGGTTTGCATTAAAGCTGTTAATAACACGTTTAACTGACAGCACTAATATGTATACATTTATATATAATGATTGATGTAGATTACCTAGCTAGTTAGCTAGTGTTTTGCCAGTATTAGGACTATATCACTTTTATCTTTAATTCAATTCAATTCCATTTTATTTGTATAGCGCCAATTCATAACAGAAGTTATCTCAGGACACTTTTCAAATAGAGCAGGTCTATACCGAACTCTTTATAACATAATTTACAGAGACCCAACAGTACCACCATGAGCAAGACCTTGGCGACAAGGGCAAGGAAAAACTGCCTGTTAAAAGGCAGAAACCTAGGACAGATCCTTCGGCTCTAGGTGGGTGGTCGTCTGTCTCGACCAGTTGGGGTGAGAGAGAGAGAGAGAGAGAGAAAGAGAGAGAGAGACAGACAGAAACAGAGAGAGAGACAGGTGCACAGCAAACCTTTAACCATCTTCAAATGTATATTTCAGTTCAAGAAAGGAGAAAGTTGACAGAGGTTCTGAGGCTTGCTCAACTGTTATTGGAGCACAGAGCAAAAAAGTGCAGTACTTAGGAAGACTCATTACAGTGTTGTTACCACTCCACCGCAAATGTTCAATCTTTGAGTGATTCAATCATCTTTATTAGTTTATACACCATCTGATTTTTTAAAAAATTAACCAAATAACCAATAGTGCCCCAAATTCCAAAGTTCACTCCCAGCTTAATTGTACCTGTGGTAGGTTGTACAGAAGTGCTTTGCATTCACCATAGATAGAATTTCTCATAATTACAAGAGTCCTATCTCACCTAATGCTCATGTTTCTGATCTTATGTGTTTGTTAAGTGTCAGACAAAAAGACACATCTGGAGGCTGAATCACTCTATTACACTCAGACTGGCTATGTTCAGAGTAAATAATTTCTGCCAAATGTAATTCCTTTTCATTTATTTTAAAAGAGAACAACTTCTGTTGTATACCTATTAAGTCATGGATTAACAGGAACAGTCTTGCCAGGCACGGGCCCAGGAGCCCAAGGGATCAGGGGTGGCCCTAAGATTATGTGTGAAGAAGCTGTTCTACAAAGGAATAGCCTCAATATTTACTTTTCAGTTGTCACAAGAACATTAACAAATCATAAACAACAAAATACATAATTTGTCATTGCCTTCCAAAATGATCGATTTGGCTGCCAGATGATATGATGTCCCCGATTGGCATTGGCTTCCAAAACCATTACAAATCACTGTTCCAAAATTCATGACAACCACTATGGTTAAGGTTTAATGAGGTTTGTCCAGCTAGAACTGCTTGGTAACTGGTTAAGATTGTGGTATGGTTTTTGTTAGGGTTATGGTTTGTGGCACAATAACAGTGTTATGCTGCTTCTGCTTTTGCTTCTGACAGACAAGAGTAATAATACTCACATAGCCATCAAAGCTGTAAACATAGGCTGTATAATACATTCGAACAAACAGCTAGTGCTTTTGGTGTTCTGGTGATTCTGTGCAGGAAAGAAGGCGCCATGGTCTCTTTCAAAATGAGTGTCTATCCTCTCAGGTTGTCTGTAGCACGTACGTAAGTCCTGTGCTCCATATTGACACCATGCAATATGGGTCCTTTGTTTATCCATGTGCATAATCCTTTTATGGTTTAAAATGATCCAGCTTAGTGAGACACTGTACCAACAGGCAGTTTCAGAAACCACTGTGGGTGGGGAAGAGAGCATGATTTCTAGACATCACAGAAAAAGTGCACTCTCAGAGCTCTATTTTGTTGTTGTTTTTCAAAAATGTGAATTTTGATAAAAGAGTTGCTTTTTATAAACAACAATAATTTATACTTCACAGTACAGAAAAGTGAATTCTTACCTTGGGTCAGGTGATGTCTGAGTGATTTTTTTTTACATTTGACATGTTAATCCTCTTCCTTCTGCTGTAGTAGCACGAAGCACAGGTCTACCCACTCACTGTTAATGTACTGTACATGAGTCCTTACTTCAGAACCCATTGAAGTTGTTTGTAAATGGTCAGAATGAGGTACAGCACTCCTGATTTTGTGATAGCTTCCAATAACACCCGCATATTTGTCAACTCTCCCCTGACAGTTGATGTTTTCAAATTGCAATGCTTTTTTAAAATCTGGAGGGAATACATCTCTTCCATCCTGTTGTCTTCTGTATGATCTGCTTGAGGTATCACAACAAAACCAAACTCATTTCATGTGTTTCTCACACTTTCATAGGGCCAGATCACCAACTGGGCAAAGCAGTGGGATAATCTGGCCCTGCACTTTTACCTCCCTCATCTGATTGTTGCACACAGGTGCACAGTGAGGTCATGAGCTGGAGTTTAAAGAAATGCACTGAGCTGTTTTACTAGTACAATATTTAATGGTGCATGTTTATGTTTGGACATATTCTTTATGTTTAGTGGACCGTACAAGAAGCTCATGTCAGAAGCATACTGCACAGTGTGGCTGTGCCTTGTACTCTGTGTCAGACTTTGTGGAGTCAAACAACTTGTTTGGCAATTTTTAACAACTGCAGTTTAAAAATAAGAAAAAAGGTGCTTCTGCATCTTTTATTTTGAAGCTCTTCCAACAAATGATTTTTTTCACATTCTCCTTTTTCCTTTCATTTTTAATAAATGTTCTTCAGTCGTATTTTCAATACCAGTCTGCACTATTTTGTCACACTACAGTATGTGTGACATTATTGTAACAATGGTTCTATATGTTTTACAAACGCACAAAGACACTGTACTGTACTGTACATATGCATTGTATGCACATTTCAATATTTTGACACATTGGGCCCAGGCAGCACGTTCACTGTGTAATAGCTGCTTCTGTTCAAACCATGGGTGCTCGAAGTAGGTGTGCTGAGGGCGCTACAACACCCACTAAAATCTGGCATAATGAAAACCATTAGTTAAGATAAAAATGTTTAAACTTGGTTACTGGTTTTAAATCTTAAAAAGTAAAAAAAAAAAAAAAAAAAAAAGTGTGTTAAATGTTAAGGCTGCAGTATAGGTTACTTTTAGAAAAATAACTTTTTGTCACATTTGGTGAAATTTTCACTGCATCCTGACAGTAGTACATAAGACAGATACTCTGTGAAAACAATCAGGTTCCTCTGGCTGCTCCTACTGCTCTTAATGGCATTTGCAAGAATCCCCCAAGTCTAAACGAAAACAACCAATCACAGCCGAGAAAGATATGAAGACACTTTAAGAGGAGCCAGATTTTTTTTCACAGGTGTCATGTACTACTGTCAGGATATAGTGAAAGTTTTATAAAAAATTACCTACTGCAGCTTTAATAACTATTTAATGGGCTTAGTTTTGTGCTCTTACATCATGGATAACATAAAAAATATTAGGAACACCCTTCGCCTACTGAATCTATGTCAACCATGTAGCAGTGAGAGATGATACTGCAAGACACATTCACTCATTCCTTCCTTCCACCTGATATTATTTTTGTTTGTTTTATAATGAAATTACCATGTGAGTTTAGAGCCGACCTACAGCTTCACTGGCTGTCCCAACTATGTGTGTGGGGTCATTAACAAATGAAATGAAATGAATGAAATAGAAATGACCTCACTTGAATATGACCTCTCTCTATGTACAGTTTAAAGAGACATTCAGTTTTTTTGTCAGTGTTTCAGTGTTTGTGCGCCATGCTCTGTCCACATGCTGGCCCATGTTTGAACTGCACTGTGGCAGCTCCTCAGTACTTGCATAGAACTGAAATCTGCCTGGTTCTGGCAGTAAGTTTCCTTTTCCTATAGACAAGTTAGAAATGTTCATACATCTTGGCTAAAGAAACATAAGACAAATTTCCTTATTTGCTTCCTCTCTTGGAGTGAAATGTTCAGATGGCTTTCAGTTTCATTTCTGTCTGAGCTGTAGTCAGAATGTCAGAAACAGGCACAATGGTACAACATAAAGCCAGTATCTGGGCTCTAGTACTGAACCTGACAATGCAACTGTGACAATAGGACTGCTGGAAGCTGCACAGTTACTGTGTCTGTGTTGTGTTGTTCATTAAGAAATAGTTCTAGAAAATAACTTCCCCTGAAAATGTAATATTTCTGTATGTGTCTATGTGCTACGCTTGTCTATGGGAAAAGACATCGTCTGTGAATCACATACTAAAGTACTATTTATACCAAGTATGACGTCAAATTGAGTATAGTATGTGAATTTTATGTATATGAGAAATGCCTGAACTAAACTGCCAGATAATGCTTTGTGTCTCTTCTAACAGGTCAATAGCAGATGGTTTTAGACAGTTTTTATAATTTCCATGTGTTATTTCACCACTGAATTCACTTCTGAGAATATTTTAAGCAAAACATCAACTGTAAATTTCGAATATCTGTAGTTTTATGAAAATTGATAGCGATTCGAGAAACGTGCTCAAACATTTTTGGAGTTGAGAAGCTCCAGAAGCATGAGTGGTAGATAATCAGCATCAATCATTAGTACACTTCTATGTAGTACACTATGCACACTACGTACTTACTTGCGTAGTGCGGTAATTTCAGCAGTGTAGTCTTGTCTCAAATCGAGCACAGCCATTGTGGATTTACCAAAAATGATCTACGCTGATTTACAACCAGATGGAGCATTAGCGACAATACCGGCTTATTTTTTAAAAATGTACCTGCTTTTACTTTTTATCGCTTTTGTGTGTCCCCTGTCGTCATCTCCGCTGCTCAGTTGCTCAACTGTTATTAGGACACAGAGCAAAAAGGGGGACTTATGAAGGGTCATTTAGAAAATTTCCAACTATGTGGTTGAATCAAAGACTTACTTCATCCTTCAATAAAATTCAATTTAAATTGATGGCTTCCACAATCACATAGGCTAAACACTGTAGAACAGTTGTTTTAAAGTCTCAAGGTTATTTTCTAGTCTACATTAAGCCTTTTCCAATAATGAAAATACCTGGAAAATATCAGTTAAAAAAACTAGCTCCCAGAATAGAATATTTCAGCTTTATGCAGTACTTGTTCCCTTTACCACACAATCTTCCATTTTGCCTGACCCGGGGTGGCCCTGAAAACATTGCTACTCTGTGTAGACAGGAGTTTTAAAAATATTTCCTGGAACCTTTTTGGTCCAAAGCACATGGGTCACAGGGATTAATGTTAGACTCTTTAGGGGTCACCCACAGCCAAACACGCCTCTCTTCTCAGCCCTTACCACTGTGATCTCACATGGACTTTTGTTTTTCTATTTTATGTTTTTCTGTATAAATGTATATTTGATGGTATACCTGTGAATGATGTATCAATTTTTATTTGTAATACTGTCATTGGTTTATTTTGTAAAAAACGAGAAAATGAAAAGTAAAGACAGAAAACACAAAAAACTCATTTTTGTAGCAATTGTCTTCAATAAAACCAAAAAAAGCCAGAAAAAAACAATGGTGACATGCAGAATACGCAGCATTTTATTATTATTTTTTTTACATGAACTGGTTTAAATTAGTTGTGCTTGTAATATTAGCAGATTGTGATTATTCTTTAATACCATCTTTGATACCACACAATACAAGATCACATATTCTATTCTACACTATACTGTATATTGTCTTTATGACGAGTGCAATTTACAGTGAACACTGTACACCCAAATGCATCCATTCACATTGTGGTTTTCACACTGTAATGCAAGCTTTAGACACTGGAGGGAAGTAGAGCATCTAGTCAACCTGAAACCCTGAAGCTGGGAGGAAGAAATATATAGTGTTTTGTCTTATCAAACTGCTAATTTCATTCTGCCACAAATGATACTGACTATACTGACGTTTAGTTTTGGCCCTTTGTCTATATATTCACAGAAGTGTATATTCAATAAAACTGTGATTTGCTTATCAGCTCTATTAATGATCTGTCACTGTGTAAAAACTTTTATTGTTATAATGTATTACTGCCCTATCACTTAATGCATAAAAATGCATACATAACTACATGCTTGTTTATTTGGATCCCCATTAGCTGTTGTATAAAGCAGCTATTCCTCAATGGAGGGTCACAACTGCGAAAATCAAAAAGTCGTTCATATACCTGACACGAGGCTATACAAGCTAATTATAGGTGTAGATTTCTGTAGAGACCAGATGGCCAGTCCCCCTCAGTTTTACAAATATTAAGAGTTTCTTCTCTTTCACTTCTCAAATAAGGCATACATTCAAACAATTCATTTGCCATCTTTCATATTGAAATAATTGTTTTCTCTGGCGATGTGTATGATGTCTAGTTGGTAGTTGGTCAAAAACAACTTTTTCCCCCATATTTGTTGAAACTTTCACTATATCCTGACAGTAGCACATGAGACAGATAATCTGTGAGAAAATCAGGTTCCTCTGGCTCCTCCTAGTGCTGCTAATATCAGGTATTTGCCAGAATCCACCAGACCTGAATGAAAACAACCAATCAGAGCCAAGAAAGATATAAAGATTTAGATTAAAGATTTCCAGTGTCCCAAAGCATCTGTATTTGACACCCTGGGAACGAGACTCAACAATCAATCGTCTTTAGTTACATTAGAGTGCACATTACTGTAAATGAGCCAGTTTAGCCATCCTGGCTAATTTCCAACTGCAGTCCCTGGACACATAAAATAGTACACTTCATAAAAACACATTAATCACTTAAAAAACAATAAGATTGTCTTTTAACCATAATTTTAAATAGATTTTTAGTTGTCTCACAATCTCTGATAAGTGTTGACAGGCTGTTCCATGTGTGAGCTGGATCTGACTGTGCAAAGACAGTCCTCCTAACAGGTTTTATACAATCCCCTCTGCCATAGATGTAATGTATCTATCATCTGTTGAAGTACAGATACAGGTTTGAGTGTTGACAGTATGAAAAAGGTGATATGATAATGGCATTCAAATATAGTTTTGCTGCCTAATAGTTAGTCAAGGTGAAGTATTGTTAGTTGTTAACTTCTCTTCTGTTAGTGGTAAATTAAGGGGGAGTAGTATAATTACTACAAAACATATTACTAAAAAAATGTGTTCAGAGTGCATTATTTGTGCATAAATGTGGTCATATGTTTTACATCTTTATTTCCTGGAATCAGGACTTACAGGCAAGTTCAATAAATACCTTTTGTCCCACCTGCCTATTAAAACAGATTCTTGACACATGGAAGGTCCTCCCTCGCATAGGGAATGAACTGGAACTGTTCCAGGAGGTGGAGCAACGCAAAGAAGATGTAGTTGGCCTCACCTAGCAGCTGTAGTTCAGGAGAGCAGGCTGTCCCCTAATCATGAGGTTGGCGGTTTGATCCCTGGCTCCTCCCTCTGTATGTTGAAGTGTCCTTGGGCAAGATACTGAACCCCAAATTGCTCCTGAGGCTGTGCCATCAGTGTGTGAATGGATTAATCTGACATGTAGTGTAAAGCACTTTCAGTGGTTGGAAGACTAGAAAGGCACTATATACTGTAAGTGCACTCCATTTACCATCTACCTCTACACACAGCAGGAACCAAACTCCTCCAAAGGGGCATGGCTGTCTCGCCTTACAGTTCAAGTTTAATTTTTGTGTTTCCATCAGCAGATAGGAGAAATCCAAGAAAGATAGCTGAGTCTCATTCCCATGTCATGAAATACAGACACTGGGAATGAGACTCAACAATCAGCTGTCTTTCTTGGCTTTCTTCCATCTAAGTTCAATCCACCAATTCAAAAGTGTCTTTTCTATCTTTCTCGGCTCTGATTGGTTGTTTTCGTCCAGGCTCAGCGGATTCTGGCAAATACCATTTGGAGCACTAGGAGGAGCCAGAGGATTTGATTTTTTCAGATTTTCTATGTCATGTACTACTGTCAGGATATAGTGAAAGTTCCAGAAAATATGATGAAAAAAAAAATTACCAACTGCAGCCAATTCTGGAGACATTATGGACATCATACACACTGCCAGAGAAAACACTGATTTGAATATGAAAGATGGCAGATGAAGTGTTTGAATGCATTCAGAGGTGACGAAATCAGTCTCTAACAGAAGACAGTGTGACCAAACTTTATTATTGAAGGAGTGGAAGAGAAGAAACTCCTCATATATGTAAAACAGACAGGCCCCCCGGTCTCTACACTTATAATTATCCGGCATGGCCTCATGTCAGGTATGTGTGAGGAGCGTGGAACATGCAGAGTGACTGGCCTGCAGAGTCCGGCTAGCTTGGTTTAAGGATTTTTCTCAGTGGAAACAGACATTGAACTAATAATATTTTTTTTACTCTTAACATTTTTTTGTAACTTTTCAAGTTACTAGTTATGGCAACTTCTAATGAAATTATGTTCAGCAAATGTACTACATTAAGTTAGGGGAATTAGCTTTTCCTCTACAATCAAAGGTATTTTTAATTACCACTTAATAATTGGTAGCATAAACACAAGTTTTTGAGTTGGTTAGGCTACTCATTAAAATAATGCATTTGTTTAAGTGTTGACAATATGTCCACTAAATTACTTTTTAGAGTGTGCAAAATAAAAATGAAATGCAAATACATGAGGCAGATCCTTGTCTCTGTGGGGGCTCAGGGCTCAGGCCTCAGGGCTCCAGCAGAGGTTGTGTTAGACTTCCTCATTGTCTGTCATTTAGACAGACAGACAAATTCCATCCTAATCTATTACACATCACTTTTATTGTCATTTTTTTTAATGATAATGTTACATATAGCCATATGTATTTATATGCATTACATATACACTAGATGCCACTTAATCCTACACACTGGTCCTGAAAAGTTTGAGTTAGAATAGTTTGTAAGAGCATGAATATAAATCATAGGAAAATGGACAGCCGTTGTGAAGCTCAGTGTGGTCGGCTCTGGTCATTGGTAAATGGTAAATGGTAAATGGACCTGTACTTGTATAGCGCCTTCGTAGTCTTCCGACCACTCAAAGCGCTTTTACACTACGTGCCACATTCACCCTTTCACACACATTCACACAGTGATGGCAAAGCCCATCGGACAGAAACTAATGCATTCATACACATTCACACACCGATGCACAGCATCAGGAGCAATCTTGCTAAAGGACACTTTGACATGTGGCACCAGGAGCCTGGGGATCGAACCAACAACCTTACGATTAGGGGACGACCCACTCTGCCTCTGCGCCACAGCCGGCATTGCCATCTTGGCAGTCTAAAAATCAGTGGAGTAGAGAGTGTGTGTGGAGCTCAGGCAGGCTGAAAACCAAACTGTCACTCAAAGCGTCTATGCCCTTAATTATGCATAATTTTAAGCCTTTATATAATGAATGAATTTTCATATGGGGCCTTATGGAGAGTGACTCATTGCTAGAGCCAGCCTCAAGTGGCTGTTAGAGAAAGTGCAGTTTTTGGCACTTCTGTGTTGGCTTCATTTGCACACATATAAACACAATGAGGCTGGTCTAGTAAGTAGATAAGTCTCAGTGTTTTAATGTCACCGACAACCTCTGTAGTCTCATTTAGCCACTTGTTAACGACTGCCTTTTTTTCATTCTTTCTAATATTTACGGACATATTTTTTGTCATAGAACAGTATGTTAAAATCTCTTAAGCTTGTGTTAACCACAGACCTTATTTCAGAAATCTGACCAAAAACCCCGTAAAAAAGTCTGAGGAGATGAGGATGTGCTAAAATGCTAAGTCAATTTAGGACTCATTCCTGCCGCACTCTAGTGGCTTGACTTCAGTATAAGTCAGCCTGGTGCTGCCCTGCCTCTTACTAATGTGGCACTTGGGGTGACCTACTTTTCTTTCTACATGATAGAGATAAGACCGCGAGCACTTTGTGCATTTATTTCTATTGTCATTGTTTTCCCAGAGCAGATGATTTAGTGAGACTAGGGGTGTTTATGTAATATTTCATTTTTTGCTGACCCGGTATCACTTGTAAAGATTTAGATTTACATTTTTGCAAAGGCGCTACTATCATGAACAGTGTGTTTAGGCTAATAACTTCTGCATAGTTTGTCGCACATTCAAAAACCTTATATCTATGTGTTCGGTGAATGGAGCTGCATCTCCCCATATAGGCCACGCCCACTTGTGGCTATGATTTTTTTCCCCTTAAAGCGCGGAATGTACATAAACTACTTTTTCGTTTTCTTCCTATACGCTTTGTACGATTCGCACAAAATTTTTCACATAGCATCTGGGGACCGTCCTGGCAAAAAAAAGTCATTTGAAGAATTTTGATGTTTCAAAAGATAAGCACGCTATAAAATTAGGACTTCCTGTAGAGTTTTCGTCAAAACAGGAAGTGGGGCATTTCTCCACATTGGTATGTCCGATTGACACCAAGTTTGGGAACCTTGGTGTATTAGGCATCGTGCACAATGTCAGGCCATTGGCACAAGGTAGCGCTCTTTAAAATGAAGAAGTTTATATCTACACATCGGTACATGTGATTAAAATGAAACTTGGTAAGATGCTTGCAGGCAGTTTTTCCTTGCCCTTGTCGCCAAGTGCTTGCTCATGGTGGCAATGGCGATTCTGAAAGCTCATTGGCCACCCCTGTGGCCACCCCAGATCTGATAGGTAGTTGGTCAAGTTCGTCAACACAAGAAACAAGAGAAATGCTGTCAATCAATGATGACAGCTGATCAACTGATTTAGGGCCAGTTTTACATTTTTAACTAACGCAGTAATAGTCGTACTGAGGCTGTGAGAGCTGGTTTCTGCTCAGCCGACGTTTGGCCATGCAGGTCAGGTGACCCATGAGATGAGCACGCTGCACCTGCTGCTGGTCCGTGAAACAGGAGGACGGTCACAGTTACAACATCAACAATACAACAACGATAAAAATGTTGAAATCTGTCGATTGAGAGGTATGGTAATTTAATGTTTAGTTATATCGTAGTTCCCTCT